CCCCAGGACTTGGAATGCTACCAAGAAAGCCACATGCCCTTGTTTTATTTTATTCTATCAACATACCTGACTATTTTGTGTAAACCAGTCTTTTAAACCTAAAATACAGAAAATATTAGCTCGGACCAATGGTTCCCAACCTGTGGGGCATGACTCCTGGAGGATTGGGGTCGCCTAAGGCCATCAGAAATATCAGATATTTACATTACAATTCACAACAGTGGCAAAATCACAGTTATGGAATAGCAATGAAAATAATGTTATGGTTGGGGTCATCACAGCATGAGGAACTGTATTAAAGGGACACAGCATTAGGAAGGTGAAAACCATGGCTTAGACACAAAACTTACTCAATCTTTTCCTAAGGACTTGAAATGCTAGCAGTGTAATAAAATGAAGCCAGGGATTATGGGTGCTGTATCACTGAGCAGAAGTCAAATAATTCCATTATAGCCCCATGTGTGTGTGTGTGTGTGTGTGTGTGTGTGTGTGTGTGTGTAAACTGAAGAATGCTGGGGGCGGGGTTTACATTGACGTATCATCAGAGATGGTTTCTATAGAGTAAATCCCCAGTGCAGTTTATGGTAACATTTACTAGTTTGTGGCAGATATGAGAAAATTAAGGACAAAATAGTTAATAAGTTTATTCAAGCAAAATGTCCATATTTATTCAGAAATTATTCTTTTACAATGCTGTTGTTTACACCCCCCCTTTTTTTTCTACCCAGGATTGATGGCTAGTACCTAAAATTCAAGCGCTTGGCAGGTAGAGGCAGAAGGATCTGGAGTCCAAGGACATTTTCAGCTATATGTGAGTTTGAACCAGAGTGGGTAACATGGGACCTTGTCTAAAAAATGGCCACCACTGCCATCACTGGCAAAAATTTCCCTTTCCTTTGAATGATGATTATGGTAGATGTTAGTTTTTTGTTTTTTGTTTTTGTTTTTTTTTTTTTTAAAGAAAGGTATTATTTACAGGAAAGAAAAACTGAAAACCCAACATCACTTTTTGGAATCTGAGAATGCTACTAGTAAACCACACTTAATATTTGCCGTTTAGAGCCTGCTAATCTCAGAATTACCCTACAATACACAGAGGCTGTATCTACATTGGGCATCCTGCCAGGGGTAAGTTTATGTCCCACTGGGCTTTCCCTATAAAAGGACCAGAGCCTCCCACATACAGGCAGACTCCTCAGCAGAGAAAGCCCTGTGTCATCACAGTGAGGCTTAGCTCCCGCCAGGGACAGGGGAAGGTGGTTGCTGTTTGGGGAGCAGGGGGGTCAAGGATTTTGGCTCCTGTCACTGTTAGGACCAAAATGTGTTGAGCTAAGTAAAGGGAGAGGGGCCTTTGAGTAGCTGAAGGACTAGGTAGGAGGTGAGACTGGGATAAAGGGAAAGATGGTCTGGATAGAAGTGACTTTCATCTTGCCTTTTTCTAGATGACCATGACTCAACTGGGCTTCCTGCTGTTTCTCATTGTGGCCACCAGAGGCTGCACTGCAGGTGAGTCTTGCTATAGGACTTCCAGCTTTATATAGGACCAGCCAGCTTCCCTAGGTCAATGTGAGCTTTAAAGATAATTAACAGTTTCTTGGTGCTGGCACATCCCTTTAATCCCAGCACTTGGCAGGCAGAGGCAGGCCAGTCTTTGTGAGTTCGAGGCCAGCCTGGTAGCTTTAAGCTATACAGAGAAACCTTGTCTCAAAAAAGAAAAGGCAGTCAGCACTAGACTAGGTTGCTTCCAGGACCTGAGTCTCTGAGGGCTAGAGATCATGCTTCTTTTGTTGTTGTTTTTGTTTTTCAAAACAAAAACAGGGTTTCTCTGTGAAGCTCTGGCTGTCCTGGAACTCGATTTGTAGACCAGGCTGGCCTCAAACATAGAGATCTGTCTGTCTGTCTCTGCCTCTTGAGTGCTGGGATTAAAGACATGCATCACTGCTGCTCGACTGATCATGCCTTTTTAAAAAAATAACTTTTTGAAATTAAATATAATTGTATTATTTTTCAATTCCTTTTTTCTTTCCAACCTTTCCTAATTATCCCTCTCACTCTAATAAAGCCCCCACCCTTTTTTTTCAATTGTGGATATATATTTCTGGACATATGAACATAATCTAGTTCATCCCCCAAAGATGATGCCATTGAAATGTAGGCTGGATGCTGATTGCCTCTTGAAGGAATTGGCCAGTGACAGTCAGATTGTTGAGTATGCCTTGGTAAAGATTCTGTGCCTGTGTGTAGCTCTAGGGGAACTTCTGTAAGAACTGTGTCCATCCTAGTCACCCCTATGCTTAGGACCTTGGCCTTGGAGTTTCAATGCCAAGTGAATGGTCTGATTTGTGCCCAGACAAGGTTGTCTTCAGTTCTTCTCTCTACAGAAACTCAACATTATTTTTAAATGAGCACTTCCTCTTCACTGCTGCTTTAGTGTCTTTAAGCAAAAGGGCAAGACCCTAAATGCCATCTTACTTAATCTCCACGTGATATCTTTGTCAGCTTGATATGAGACACTAGGGAACTGAGGCTACACAGTAAATACGATCCAAAAATACTTGACTCGTGGACTTGGATCTACTACTTACACCTGAGCAGCTCAGACCCCAAAGCTCTCACTGGTTTCCATGCTTCTAGGTTCTCAGAGGACTTGTGGGGTTGAGGCTGGTTCGCAGGGCTTTCTATTCCATGGTCTCCTGGTCAAGCCTCTGCACTGCCAACCTGGCTGCCCATGCTTCAGGCACATTAGGGTCCCTGCATTTCTTCTCCCTGCGACTGGACTTCAAGTTATTCTCCTTTTTCAGGGCTTTGGACGCTAAGTTCTCCAGCTTCAAACCTGTCTTCTCTCTTCCTAGTTGGAAATCTTGTTGATTCTCAGAGGGAGGCTTTGGGAAGTCATTAGGATGAATGACAAGGGGAGGCTGGGTGTCCCACGAGAGTGAAACTCTGCATCTTCTCTAGCTCAAGAGAACCTGGATACCAACAGATGGGCCAATCCTGTGTCTTCCTCTCTGTTCAGAAGCTGCAAGGAAATCAAACAGGAGATGACTGGGGCACAAGGTAAGTGATGAAGCGTTTAAAGAACACACTGTAATCCTAACACCTCAAAACGAAGCAAGGACTGAAAGCTCCAAGCCAGCCCAGGGTGACCCTGTCTGAAAATACCAACAAATGACCCAGTTAGGAAATCAGCTTTTTTGTCTCATGGAACAGCTTTTCTTTTTTGAAATAGAAAATATAATAAAATGTAGAGAGGACAAAACCTGCCACTTAACTAATTTTAAGGGTTTTCAGAGTCAAGAACGACTTTCACAATGGCAGGGATCACTATTGTCCATCTCCAGAAAGTTTTCATTCCTTAAGTAGAAATTCTGTAGCCAGAAAATAATAAATACCTGTATTCTCTGTGAGCTGCTGCTCTGTTTCCTACTTCTATGAATCTGTTAGTTCTTGTTACCACATATGAGTAACCTGCCTTATTTCATGTGCATGCTTCAAGGCTCATATGTGTTGTAGAACGGTAAGTTTATCTCAAAAAGATTTAGTGTTATTATTATTACTATGACGATGATGATGATGTACACATCTGTGTGTGGGAATATGTGCATGTGTGTGCAGGTATATGCAGAGTCCAGAAGAGGCCATCTAGTCCTCAGGAGATGGAGTGACAGGCACTTGTACACTGCCCAGTGTGAGTGCTGGTAACCTAGCTAAAGTTCTCTGCTAGAGCAGTACTTGCTCTTAAAAATAAAGCCATTTCTCCAGTCTACTTCATTCTTTTTTTATCTATTGGAATACAGGAATGTACAATATATATATTCTGCATAGTAGACCGCGCACGATATTGCTTATTCCTTTTTCTGTAGAGAGACTTCACTTGTTTCTGCCTTTCAGGTCTTGTGACCAGAGCTGTAATGAACACGAATGTACATATCTGAGTCCCTGTTCCCAGTTCTTTGGGTATCTGCCTAGTGGAGCTGCTAAGTCCTTTGATAATACTGTGTTTAACTTTAAAACAAAAACATCACTGTCACTTTGGGTAATTCTGTGTTCTGCCTCAGTCATAGACGCTTGGCTTTCTGAACTCAGGCACATCCCCAGGAACACCTGTGATAGGACACTCAGGGTATGAGGCATTCACCATGTTCGTAGTTCCTAGAGCCATTCTGCTGCTGGAGCAGAGATGGACAATGAGCCTGCACACAGGAGACTGTGAACTGGTTCTCTCTACAGATGGTCTCTATTTCCTCCGCACGAAGAATGGTGTCATCTACCAGACCTTCTGTGACATGACCACTGCAGGTGGTGGCTGGACCCTGGTGGCCAGTGTGCATGAGAACAACATGTATGGGAAGTGCACAGTGGGCGATCGCTGGTCCAGTCAGCAAGGCAACAGAGCAGACAGCCCAGAGGGGGATGGCAACTGGGCCAACTACAACACCTTTGGGTCTGCAGAGGGGGCCACAAGTGATGACTACAAGGTTGGTACACTCTGTAGCCACCTGGGAGAGCATGAGGATGTGAGTGTAGATCAAGCGTGCCAGGGAGAGGGTGGAAGGTTGCCCTTCAACATAGGGATGAGGAAGGGAAAATACTTATCTTGAATCTCAACATCCCTCCCAAGTAGTCTTTTAGGTAAGTAGGTGTGGTGGTGGGGCCATTGTCACTGGGAATGGGGCCATCTGAGCATGGCTGGCCATCTGTCCCCCTGGAGCCCAGAGACATCAGCTGTGCTGAGGACTGTGCATGTGGGTCTTTCCTTAGTGAAATCTCCTGGTCTTGTCAGGCTCAGTGTTGGTTGCTTTCCAGAACCCTGGCTACTACGACATCCAGGCTGAGAACCTGGGGATCTGGCATGTGCCCAACAATAGCCCCCTGCAAAATTGGAGGAACAGCTCCCTGCTGAGGTACCGCACCTTCAGTGGCTTCCTGCAGCACCTGGGCCATAATCTGTTTGGCCTGTACCAGGTACTCAAGACTGCTGGCTGAGGCTCTTCTCATGGGTGTGGAGAGAGAGGCAGGTGTTGGAGACTGGGTGGGTTGTATTCCTTGTTTCACTAATTCTAAGTGCAATGAGCCAAGATAGTCAAAGCTTAGGGGTAGGCGCAAAAGAGACGAGAGGAGAGAAGTAGGGAGGGGAGAGAGAAGAGAAGAGAGAAAGAGGAAGGGAGGGAGAGAGAAAGGAGGGAGGGATGTGTCAGAGAGACACAGACAAATGAAATGATCCTTTCTTATCTGACTGGTTTGGCAACCATCTCACTTACTGCACAAATGCTGTGTCTTTCTGAGCAGGGCAGTGTTCCTGGGATTGTCAATGCTGCCATACTTACCCAGTGACTTCTTTTGTTCCTTGTAGAGATACCCAGTGAAATATGGAGGAGGGAAGTGTTGGACTGACAATGGCCCAGCATTACCTGTGGTCTATGACTTTGGTGATGCTCAGAAGACAGCCTCTTATTACTCCCCTTATGGCCAGAGTGAGTCTTTAATACTCCTGTGTTCCCTCTGCAGGACACGTGATAAATTCAGTTATAAGTAACAGTCATTCACCATCCGCCAAGCCTGATTCTCTTCTCTGAATGTTTGTGCTTTGTTTCATTTCATGTACATGATAACACTTGAGCTCTCAACTATTACTGATCCATTTTACAGCTTAGGAGACTGGGGCTCTGAAGGTCCAGGAACTTGCCTGAGAGTACAAGGCATCAGTATGAGAGTTGGCATTTGCACTGGGAAAACTTGGCTATATAATCAATTCTAGCAACCGTGATATCATCCAGTGGTTTCTCAGGAACAGGCCAGGTCTATGTGCAAGGGGCGGAACAACAGAGCAAAAGGGAGTAGAACAACAGAAAAAAATGGAGGTTTATTTCTGTTGTGAGGGGTGACTTAATATAAATCCAAAGGAGGCAATATCCTTCATAGAGGTTGAACATGTGCTGTGTAATTTAAAGCTCTTGTCATTTATGCTTGGTATTTAAAAGTTGAAAATGAAAGGGAACAAGCAAAGTGTGATAGGACCAGAGTCAATCAATACGCTTGCTAATGCGTGGTGGTCCATCGGAAGTTGTCAGTATGATCATCCTGGGTTACTAAAGTTCTTCATACAAGCCTTCAGAAGACTGGGGTCTTTTTGACCACCCACTCTTGGACTCTCAGACTTGGAAAAGGCTCCTGTTAGTGCCATGTGTGGCTGGGATGTTTCAGCCATTGGTCATGGTAGTGTCAGACAACCAACCCCCAGTATTTCTGATGTGTTGAACTATAATCTGTGCCTGGTACTGGCCATCTCTGCATTGACCTAAGACTAGTATTTCTAGAATCTTCCTTGAATGCTGTTTTCTACTTTTTCTTTTCAGAGGAATTCACTGCAGGATTTGTTCAGTTTAGAGTGTTCAATAATGAGAGAGCAGCCAATGCCTTGTGTGCTGGCATGAAGGTCACTGGATGTAATACTGAAATTGTGAGTCTTTAAAAATCATGTATGTATGTATGTATGTATGTATGTATGTATGTATGTATATATTGGGTGGTAGTGGTATATACCTTTAATCCTAGCATTTGGGAATTTGGGAGGCAGGTGGATCTCTGTGAGTTCGAGACCAGCCTTGTCTACAAGAGCTAGTTCCAGGCAGCCTCCAAAGCCACAGAGAAACCCTGTTTCGAAAAACCAAAAAAAAAAAAAATTAAATTATGTGTATTCCTCTATGATTGTTTTTGGTATGTGCATCTTGTATGATACAGGTACCCTTGGAAGCCAGAAGAGGGTGTTAGATTTCCTGGAAATGGAGTACATGTGGTTGTGACATTCCTTACGTGGGTGCTTGGGAACCAAACTTGGATCCTTCTGCAAAAGCAGCAAGTGTTCGGAACTGATGAGCCATTTCTCTAACTCCAAATGAATGAGTGTTGTTAGGGATCAAGTGGGCCTGTGAGTAAGACTGAGTTTTTTAGTGTGTGTTGAGCATAGGAGACTGTCATGGTAGTATGAGCATGTGTTTAGGAGTGTGACCTTTCATTGGACTTGACTTGGTCTCAGGGATCAGAACTCCTGTCTAGATACAAATATCATGTCTCATTGAAGACCAAATTCAATGTTACAACTTCTAATGCACTGTTGCTGTTTATTTAGCTTTTAGGATATAAACACTCAGTTACTTGGAGTCAGGGTGACACATACTCAGGAAGTCATGTGGAAACCTTTGGGGGCTGAGATTGCTAGAGAGTCACAAGGTATTGTCAATCTGTACTGAGGGTTTAGCTTTCAGAGTGAACTATATCCTTTTCAAGGTTTGTACAGATGCTTATTTTGTGGAAGGATTACTAGAAGAGTTTTGGACATCTGGTAGACCTCACCCAGGCTGTTCTCCTCCCTATCACAGGTACTTCCTCTGGTTAGAGGTCAGCTTGTAGACTGACGGTGAGGTCAGGTACACTCAGTTCCACTGCAGCTACCTGATATTCCTTAAGCCTAGGACCATTAGACTCTTCTGTTTATTTATCTATTTTTCTACTTTGTGGCAAAAGGCAGAATGAGGTGGGAATTGCCAAGAATAAGATTCTCTTGGAACCCAGACCTCCTCAAAGTAACAGTCTCAGAAAAGGGTCCTCAGTCCCTGTCAGGTGGCCCTGTTTCCTTTTTCATTCCTTGGTCATCACAGCATCAATTCTCCTGATAGGATGAGGAAGACTTGCTGACAAGGAAGCCCCCTGATTGTGATGGAGAGTGATGAGTATAGAGATGATGGAAGGGAAGGTCTCTCTGAAAATCTGGTTCCTATTGACCTTTCAGTGATGTCTGAAGACTTCGGAATGTAGTGTGCACAGGTGCCAGTGTGTTATTTGCGTATTGTTTAGCGTAGTTTGCTTTGTGCACCTACACTGTAATGGTACAGAAGACATGAAATGCCATGTACTTGCTAGCACTTGATAGGTTTAGACATTCACACAAATGTGTAATTGTTATCTGATATGTTTGAAGTATAGTAGAAATATAAACTAAGGAGCTTGGGTATGGCTTAGTGGTAAAACATTTGCCTAACATGCAGAAGGCCCTAGGATTTTGTTCCTAGTGCCATAAAACAGAAAGCAAAACACAAACCAAACCTAACCAACAAACAAAAAATAACTAGGGGTTACATGTGCACTGGGAAAGGCAGAGTACAGACTGCAGGAAAGGATTTTTGTTTTTGAGACAGGTCTCATATATCTTAGGTTGGTTCTAAACTCACTGTGTAGGCAGGATGACCTTGCTTTTAACTTTCTAGTGCCAGGATCACAGGCATGTGACACCACACCCAGTTTATAGGAAAGGCAGTTTCTGAGTTGAGTCTTTTTTTGTTTGTTTGTTTGTTTGTTTGTTTTGAGACAGGGTTTCTCTGTGTAGCTTTGGAGCCTATCCTGGCACTTGCTCTGGAGACCAGGCTGGCCTCAAACTCACAGAGATCCGCCTGCCTCTGTCTCTGGAGTGCTGGGATTAAAGGTGTGAGCCACCAACACCCAGATTAATCCTGTTTTTCAAGTGGAGCTTGAAATGCCTGAATAGTGATTTGAGTGGCAGATGAATTTAAGAACTTTAGCTCAAGAAACGTCTGGACTGGAGATAGACAGTTTGAGCCATCAGTGAATAGTTGGTTAACTGACACAAGCTTCAAGGGACTGGAAAATGTGCCCCCTTTGGGAATTAGCGCTTAAGGAATTCATGAAGGAAAAAATCTAACCAGGGAACCTGAGTACAAAGGTTCAGAGAAGTTGAAGGAAAGCTAGGAAGAGACAGTGATGCCATTAAAGCCAATGGAAACGGGTTTTATGGATTAAATAGGGCAATACTGCCAACGGAGAGTCTGACATGGGACGGAGAATCCACTGAACATGTTTATTAAGGTGTCTTTGGACTCATCCACTGTTTTAGTCAGTCTTTTGCCTCTGTGGTTAATACCCAAGAGAAACAGGTTAAAAGGGGGAAACTCTTACTTAGTTTTGTGCTTTCAGAGATTTTAGCCTGTGGTCAGTTGGCTCCATTGTTGTCAGATCCATGGTGAGATAGAAACATTCTACAGGAAGGGCATATCAGAGTAGTGTGGCTTACTGAATAGTGGCCAGGAAGCTGAAATACAGCGTGAAAGGCCAGGGCAAGTCACCTTCAAAATCATGCTTCTTTGTGGCTGAGAAGATTAGGAAGATGGCATAGAAGATGGTAAAAGTACTTGAGGTGCAAGTCTGGTGACCTGAGTTCATATCTCTAGAACACATACAATAGCTGCACACAGTGGTGGGGGTGTCTGTAATTCCAGTGTCCCCCAGAGAGGGATGGGAGACAGAGGCAGGGGACCCTCCCAAAGCTCTTAGGTCAGCTAACGTGACTAACACAGTGGTGAAGAGAACCTGTCTCAAACAAGGTGGGAAGGCAAGGACCAATTTCTGGAGGTTGCCCCTAACTTCTGCTTTCACATCCGTACATTTGTGTCATGCAGGTGCGCGCACACCCCACCCCCAAACACACACCACACTTCCTCTCCCAGTGGTCTGTTTCCTCTAACCAGACCCCACCCACCCCCAGCTTCACCACCTCCCAATAGTCAGTTTAAAATGGTGACTCCACTAGTGATTAGTTAACTGATGATGGCAGGGTCCTCATATTCAAGCCTTCCCCAAAGTCCTGCCTCTGAATGTTACTTACACTGGGGACCAGGTTTTTAGTACATAGCACCTTTGGGCAGGGCACTACATATCCAAACCATATCACCAGCTGACCTCTCATTGCTACTTCATCTCCTCCTCGTTTTCCAGCACTGCATCGGTGGAGGGGGATTCTTTCCAGAAGGGAACCCTCGGCAGTGTGGTGACTTCTCGGCATTTGATTGGAATGGATACGGAACTCACGTTGCGTACAGCAGTAGCCGGGAGATAACTGAAGCTGCTGTGCTTCTCTTCTACCGTTGAGAACTTTGTGGTGTGGGACCCAGACTCCTCCAATCTGTAGGCTCACATGCACGGAGAAAATCTTACCGAGTTACTAGAATGCCAATGACACAGGAAAGGAAAATAAATCATGTTCATTGCAGGCTTGGTGTCTTCATGAATCCTTTTTGTTCAGGGATGGCAGATTTCCAAAGAGTTTCTGCTCCTCTGCTTGGTTGTTCTTCACATATCAGGACTGCGAATCCTGATATAGCAATACTCCTTTTAAAAATTTTATTCTTCTCTCATATTTTATATCCTGACAGCAGCCTCTCCTCTCCTCCCAGGCCCTCCCAGTCCCTCCCTTACCCACCTCTCCTTCAGATCCATTCCTCCTCCATTTCCCTTCAGAAAAGGGTGGGCTTCCCATGGCTATCAACCAAACATGGCGTAACAAGTTACAACGAGAGCAGGCACATCCCCTCATATAAAGTGTGGACAAAGCAACCCAGTAGGAGGAAAAGGGTCCCAAGAGTAGGCAAAAGAGTCAAAGACACCCTCCACTCCCACTGCTAGTAGCCCCATAATAAGACAAAGCTACACAGCCATAGCATACATGCAGAGGACCTAGCTCAGACCCACACAGGATCCCTGATTGTTGGTTCAGTCTCTGTGAGTCCCTGTGAGTCCTGGTTAGTTGCCTCTGGTTAGCAGAGCATGGCAGCGTTCAGGTGGACATGGTGCTGGAGAAGTAGATGAGAGTCTTGTGGTGTCTTTGACCCCTCTGGCTCCTACGATCCTTCCTCCCCATCTAGCACAGGGTTCCCCAAGATCTACCTAATGTTTAGCTGTGTGTTTCTGCATCTGCTCTCATCATTTGCTGGATGAAAACTTTCTGATGATGATTATAGTCAGCTCCAGTCTATGAGTATAGCAGGGTATCATTAGGAATCATTTCATTGACTTTTCACCCCCAGTCATGTTTGGTTCTATCCTAGCTCTCTGGGCTATCCGGCCTCTGGTTCTTCACCCTCCAGGCACTATCAGGCTTGAGTTCCCTCTCATGGCGTGGATTACAAGTTGGACTAGTCATTGGTTGGCTATTCTCACAAGTTCTGTATCACCTTTACCCCAGCACATCTTGTAAGCAGGACAAATTATAGGTCAAAGGTTACAGAAAATGGTGAGTTCAGGATCCTTATTCCCTATTACTAGGTGTCTTCACTAGGGCCACTGTCTTAGGGTTTCAATCGATGTGAAGAGACACCATGCCCTGTTGTTTTTCAGGCAGCAAAGAGGCTGAACTTCAATCTACTTTTAGCCAGAAAATGCATTTCTGCAGTTACTGGCCTGCTTCTCTGCCAGTGGCCCAGCTGCTCTAGCCACTGCCTAGTAGGAATTCTGTTTCCACAGGCACTGGCTATATCGATGCTGCCAAACATAGCTTTTAATTAAATCTATATATTCCATTTATTAATAAGACCTGGGAGTCAAAGACTGGGGTGAAAACCTGCTTGCTCAGAGAGGTTGAGTAGCAACTAGTTGATCTGTCTTTGCCAGCATCTCCAAAGAGTGAGTCCTCCTGCTACGCCACAATAAAAGGATCCACCCTATATTAAGTCCCCGCTCCTACTTTCTGTGCATCTCTCTATCATCCTTCAGACACCCTAGACTCTCTATGATTACTTTCTGTCAACTAGCTGCTAATTCAGCTTCCTGACCCAAGGTTGGTTATATTTAATTAACACAAACTCAGGGTTTACAGTGTGATTGAATATTCCACAATGACGACCATGGAAACTCTTATAAAGGAAAAGATTTAATTGGGTAGCTGCTTAAATTTTTAGAGGGTTAGTCCATCATCATCATGGTGCAGAGCATGGCAGCGTTCAGGTGGACATGGTGCTGGAGAAGTTGATGAGAGTCATACATCTTGCAGGCAACAGGAAGTGGACTGACTGTCACTATGAAAGAAGTTTGGGAAAGAAACCCCCAAACCTCCCCCCACAGTGACACACTTTCTGCAACAAAGCCACACCTAATAGTGCTACTCCCTTTGGGGGCACTATTCTTTCAAACCACCACAGTCACCATTGTAGATTCCAGGGAGTTTTCACTGCACTAGGTTTCTACCTCACCTGAAATGGCCCCAATTCCAGGCATTTCTCCAAGTATTCGCCCTTCACCCTCCAACCTGATCCTGTTAGACCCCCGGAAAACTCAGGTATCGGGGTCCCAGGCCACGACCCTGGTCACCTCAATCACCAGGCAGATTCGAGAGCTTGCTGCAAACTGCATGAGGCTTTATTGTAATTTAACGAGCTAATGCCATGTTAGCTCAGGTCTTTTGTCCACCCGCCATGGCGGATGGCTACAAAAGACAGTTTGAACTGGCTGCGGAGAGATCTTGTAGGGCAGCGTAAGGGGAGTGTCTAGGGGTATGCACAGGCTCACGATTGGTGTGCCTCCAGGCTTGGAGGGCTTGCCCTGTGTTGATTGGTCAACTGGTTGTTATGGCCCATAGGCCCTCCCAGGGTGGTTGCTATTCTTTGTGCATCATTGCTGTGTGCTTGTCTGTAAAGTATACCCAGGGTTGTAAAGCATAGCGCCACCAGCTAACTTCTGATTGGTTCCTTGCTATGAGACAGGTACCTAACCTCTAGTGACTAAGACAAGGTCATAGTGAGCACGTGTTACTGTCATGGCTGCCAAAATGGGGAGCTGGTCCCTTCAATCCCTTCTGTTCCCACCCTTGAAATCAATTCTTTTTGTTTTCCTGAGACAGGGTTTCTCTATGGAATAGTCCTAGTTGTCTTGGAAACCTCCTTATAGACCAGGCTGGCCTCAAACTCACAGAAATTCACCCAAATGCTGGGATTACAGGTGTGGGTCCCCACATCTGGCTATACAAAATCTATTCTATTTCCTATTCTCAGAGTGATCCATGTTTCCTCCCCCCCTTTTTTTGGGTTTTTCTAGACAGGGTTTCTCTGTATTGCTTTGAAGCCTGTCCTGGAACTCACTCTGTAGACCAGGCTGGCCTCCAACTCACAGAGATCCACCTGCCTCCGCCTCCCAAGTGCTGGGATTAAAGGCTGCACCATCAATGCCCGGCCCATGTGTCCCTTTGAACCCTTCTTGTTACTCTGCCTGTCTGAGTCTATGGATTGTAGCATGATTATCCTTTACTTTACAGCTAATATTCACCTGTGAGTGCATACCATGTTTGTCTTTCTTGGCCTAGGTTACCTCATTCATCATGATTTTTTTCTATTTCTATCCATTTGCCTGAAAAATCTCATGATTTTTTTTTAAATAGCCGTCTAATACTCCTTTGTATAAATTTACCACATTTTGTTTATCCATTCTTTGGTTGAGTGACACCTAGGTTGATCTTGTTTGTTGCTATTGTGAATAAAGTTGCCATGAACACAGTTGAGCAAGTGTCCTTGTGGTGTGATGGAGCATCCTTTGGCTACATGCCCAGGAGTATTATAGGTCTTGAGGTAGATGGATTCCCAATAGTCTGAGAAGCCACCATAATTGATTTCCAAAGTGGCTGTACAAATTTACACTCCCACTAGCAATGGAAGAGTGTTCCTCTTGCTCCACATTCTTGCCATCATGAGCTGTCACTTGTGTTTTTGATCTTAGCCATTCTGAAAGGTGTAAGATGGAATCTCATCTTGGTTTGCATTTCTCTGATAGCCAAGGATGCTTAACATTTCTTAAAGTGCTTCTCAGCTATTTGAGATTGTTCTGTTGCAAATTCTCTGTTTAGATCTGTACCCACTTCAATTGGACTATTTAGTTTGTTTATATGTAGTTTCTTGAGTTCTCAATTATAGCTGAAATTTCTTTCCACCTGGTCCCACAGTCGGTTAGCCCCAAATGAACACACAGAGGCTTCTATCAATTAGAAACTGTTTGGCCGATGGCTCAGGCTTCTTACCGGATATCTCTCTTAACTATTAGCCCATTTCTACTAATCTAAGTATTTCCACATGATCTTATCTTAGAGAAAGATCCAGACCTGTTACTCCTTCCTCAGCTACATGGCGTCTCTGCCTGGTGGCTCTTTTCTGCCTCTACCCAGCATTCTCCTCATCTCCTAGCCCCGCCTATCCTTTCTGCCTGGATATTGTATATACAGAAGGATATTCCCCCATCACTCAAGTGTTTCTTGAATTTTTTATATGTTTTGAATGTTAGACCTCTGTTAGACGTGGAGCTGGTGAAAATCTTTTCTCATTCTGAAGGCTGTCATTTTGTCCCATTGACCACTATTCATTGCCTTACAGAAGTGAAGCTTTTAAGTTTCATGAAGTCCCATTTATTAATTGTTGATCTTAGTGCCTGCACTATTAGTATTTTGTTCAGGAAGTTGTCTCCTGTGCCAATGAGTACAAGGCTATTCCCCACTTTCTCTTCTATTAGGTTCAGTGTAACTGGTTTTATGTTGAGGTCTTTGATCCACTTGGACTTGAATTTTATGCAGGGTGATAGATATGAATCTATTTGCATTCTTCTACATACTGACATCCAGTTAGACCAGCATCATTTGTTGAAGATGCTTTCTTTTTTCCATTGTATATTTCTGGCTTCTTTATCAAAAATCAGATATCAGTAGGTATGTGGATTTGTATATGGGTCTTTGATACAATTCCATTGATCAACATTGACCTGTCCCGAGAGTCCAGGCATTCAGGGTTCTGAAGGGGGGCTGCCTGAAAGAGTCATGGGCAAGAGAAAGGAAGGAGACCAAGCGGCGCAAAAGAGGGGACCAGAGTCCATCTGTGCATTGTCAAGGCCTCGATTTATTGGGGCTTAGAGTGGGCTTATATAGCCCTGCAATGAGGAAGTTAGGCAAGCGGGGGGAATAGCAGGAAGGAACGTCTGGTATTTGCTGGGGCTGGAACATTCTTGCGGTATCTTCGAAACAGCAGGCAGAAAGGCCCCACGCCTTTTCTTAGAACAGCAGTCGTTAGCAGTCCTGCTTGGCCAAATTGTGTCTAATTACAGGTTACAGGAGGCTCACAGAGCTGGCTTTAAGCCACAAACTTTAAAGGTCATAAAAAAACTTACAAAGGTGGGCTTTAAACC